TTATGTTTATATTCATTGACACTTAAAAACATGGAAGGGGATGTAGAAATAGTGACATTATTCATTTCTTGTTTTTATATTGTTTTTATATTGTTCTATATTGTTGTTGTTTAAACTTATTGTTATTTCATTTAGAAACTAACATTGTTTAAGATATAATTATAATTGAGAACAACGACTAACTTTTGTTTACCCTGTAATTGCTCAAAGATCTTGGGGGCAACTCAAAAAAAAAATTATTTATTCTTAATGTTATCTTGTTAAATATATTTAGAGGTTGTTTATTAACCCACCAAATACTAATCTTAATGCCATTTAGTTTATAAAATAAGATAGTAATAAAACTGCATACAAAATTCATATGTAGCATAAACATCGCGAGGGCCACCAAGAGCTTTCACAATGCCATAAAAAATGCATGCTTATAGAGGCACAAAAACATTTGTGGCTCTATAAGCATGCATATTTTAAAACTAAAAGGATGTACAATTATACCAGTTAATGACAGTGTTTTTATTTGTAATAGTGTACTTTACATATTTTCATGAACTGTATCTGGATTAAATAACACTTATGCAACACATTTAACATTTACATTAAACAGATTCTTTGAAATTAATATTGCTAACACTTTTTTACTAGCAAGCATTATTACTGTTATGTCATCTTACAACAGCGATGTATCCGATTCATTTTCATCATTTATGTCCAATAGATGCTCTTGTTCTATTAACCTACAATTTTTTAAACAACAAATTTTTTAAGTTGGAATTGTGTTAAAAAAGTCAAATTAGTATGACATCGTGTTAAAAAATTCAAATAAATATATAAAATCAAATATGGATTGGAAAATAGACTATAAACTATTTGAGTATATCTGCTTGAGAAAGCCTCAAGTGTTTCTAGAAATGAAAAATTATGACTCTTTTCAAACTATTAAAAAGCAAAATATTTTCCATAAAGTTGTCTTCTTTTTCACAAGCCTAAATTTGTATTGGTTCACAATACTTCAACCAGATGAAAGAGAATCTTAAAGAAAAATTTTTTACAGTCTCAAATCTTAATTGAATTTGTTGAATGACAGAGTGCAACTCTAAAGATATTCAATAAGTACCGGAATGCATTAGGTTGGATGAATAAATAAGGTAATAATAAAGAGATAACAATAACACTGATACACAAGATGACAATAATGTTGAGAAGTGATGACAATAAGTAGAGAAGATAGAATAAGAAAAGATGACAATAAGTAGAGAAGACATGGAAAGGTAAATGTTACACAAATTTTTAAATTGATAAACTGATATATAAAATTATTTATCTTTAATAAAGACTATAAAACATACATTTTGTTTGAAACATTTTGTAAAAATATGGTTAAAGAAAATTACAGTATGCATATATAAATAGATTGCACTTTATAAGCATTTATAAATTAAACATAAAAATTGCCATAAAGGATTTACAATTGTAGATGTTGGTGCAGCTATCATGGTTGAAGAATTGTAGATGTTAGTGCTGCTATCATGGTTAAAGAATTGTAGATGTTGGTGCAGCTATCTTGGTTGAAGAATTGTAGATGTTGGTGCTGCTATCATGGTTGAAGAATCATCAGGCAAACAATGTGATAGCAACCAACTTTTGACATAATCTTCAGACTTAAAAAATTAAGTGGTCGATCATTTAATTAAATAAACAATAAACAAAAAACATGTTCTACTTGAATTCATGACTATATAATAGTTGCTATTAAATTCATGCTGCTAAAGTCAGGTTCACATTCAGCAAAATATTCAAGAAATAATTCTATAGTAAAAAATTATTTCATTTAAATCTTTTTGTCGACCACCGTTAGCTCAACCAACGACCACCATCGACCATCGTTGGTTATGTAATCTCTGAAAGCATTAATACATTTTTGGAATGCTATTTTAATATACTTGCAAAGCGACTGATAAATTTAAAATACTCGCAACTGATAAATTTGATTGATGAATTTAAAACATTTGCACAACTGATAAATTTAAAGTATTTGCAAAGCGACTGAATTTCCTCTTCCCCATATTGAAAATTTATAAGAAATGGCTATTCACTTGGTTCCAATATTCTTAACTCATTAATAATAGATGAAATTAAAATACCTTGCTTTTCTTCGGTTCTGTTTGTGCTATTTCAAAATATTATTCAACTGTATTGAAGATCTTTTAATTTTTCTAAATATAAAATTGTGCAGCAAATCCATTTATCTGCTTGTACTATAGTCCTGTCTTATTTTTGCAATGTTTCGGAAATTGTGAATATTTCACATAAAACATACATAAATGCCAAATTAGTTACAAACTGCTTAGATGTAATTTCGTTACTCAATCCGATAAACATACCTTGCTCTAATTTGAATCGCATATTACTTTTGTTAACATTTTCAAAATGATTGCACAATAACGCAAAGTTCTGCTATACAGCGGCTACAGTCTTAAAAGAACTGGCAACCCAACAAGCATTAAATATCCATCCAATTTTTTAAATTTTATTTCCAATAATAGAAGCGTATTCTTCTATTTCTCTTTGGTTTTTAGCTGATTGACTATAAACAGAATAAAGTTTATCCATAAGCGTTTGAAAAAATAACTATTTTTAATTACTTATGTAATCGCATTTCCTATTGACAACTATAAACAATGGTTTAAACAGTGTCAAATAATTAAATTAGGAAATTTTTCTTACAACTATATTCCCACGCTAAATTTTTTCCCAAGTATAACAATTGCTCCATCAGTTGTAAAAGAAAATAAGTGCTGTTTTAAATCATCAGTAAACCCATGTTTTTTAAGACACTGCAACAGAGATTGTGTTATAGTAGTTGTGGTTTGATCAGATAGTTCAATTATATCTAGAAATATATAATGAGGATTCTCTGATATATTTGTTTTGCATTTAAAAAATATTATTAAAATTGATTTTTTGCTTAATGTTGCTATAAAATAATTTGCAAATATGCTATAAAATTTAATTTTTTGAATTGATTTTTTAAATTTAAAAATAGTAGTAAGTACATTAAGGTTGTTAATTATATTAAAAACTTAATTTATAATATATATATCTAATTTATACTTATTTTTCAAATAATATTTTTGTATAAAGTAACGAAATGCAATCCCGAATAACTATAAAGCACCAGAACAACGCTCCTGTGCATTTCAGCACCAAAACACAACTGCTTCTGACCACTACCAGTGTTCAAAATTTATAAGTAGTTAAAAGTAACCAAAATTTTTTAATTTTTGTGTTACAACTTTTTTTTTTTCAGTATTTAAACACTTATTGCATGTTTTTTATTACATAAAAACATTGTTTGATGAAGACTTAAGCAGTCTTTGAAAAAAAATTGATTAGTGTAATCTTTAGTACAACTTTCTTTGGCATTTTAAGCTAGCAAATGTAAAGATAATGAATTTCTTTTATCTTTTAGTGCCCCTATGTCAGGGCACGGGGCATGAATGTCCCGTTTGCCTCTCCCTTTCAGTGGCCCTGTCTCTCCCATTAAACTTCATCAATTTTAAATGTAGTAAAAAGATGGCTGAAAAGTACTAATTTCAGTAGCAGACAAACATTTCTTAGAATTTTGCCACAGTGACATTATTTTTTTCAAATTAATCGCACACAACTGTACCTAGCAAACAATAATAGGGTGTATCTGTCTAAACATGGATGGGTGTGATCAGTATATTTTGATTACAAAAATCATTCTTATTTACATTTGAAACAAAAAACAAATTCTATTAGATTTTATTTTTTTTTATTTTTAAAAAAATTTTCAAAATCATTTTACTCTTATTAGTACCACTTGTAAAAAAAAAAATTAAAAATAACAAGTAAAAATAAATACTTTTAAGAATTATTTTTACTTGTAGCTAATATTATTACTTGTAGCTAATATTATTACTTATAACAATTATTGTTTTTTTATAACAATTATTATTATTTGTAACAATTATAATTAATTGCAATCTGTTTAAAGTAGAATATAAATATATTTTATGAATTTCATCATCTTATTTTTTTATATTTATTTTCATTATGAAAAAATGTCCATTTTTATTTCTAATAACAATTTACTTTTATTTCATTTTTTAAAATCTTTTTTATGAGGTGTGTTAAGCGCTGCTACAATAATGGATAAATTAAAAATGTAATTAATAATGATAATCTAATATTAATGCTTTATGAGTTTTGATGAAAAATATTTTGTCAGTTTCCTTCATTTACCTTTCCTTCCCAACTTTTATTTTATCCCACCATTAAAAAAAAAGCACACCTAGATCAAGAAGGTAATTTTAAGTATGCTGTATTTATTTTAACACAAAAACGAAAAAATAGTATAACTTTTTTTTGTCAATATTTGATTTGAAATGAAATGTTAATCAATTTGATTTGAAATGAAATATAAAATTTTTACTAAGAGTCTATAAAACAATTAATAAAACAATTTAAAACAGAGTCTTACTAATATTATTGATAGCAATAAAATTTACAACTATAAGTCGTAAAAAAAGATGTACATAATATTAATTTGAAGTATTTAAAATTTAAAACTATATTTGAAGCAACATAAGTTATAAATATAAACAAAAGATTTCTTTTTTCTTTCCTCTAAAACTTCTTATTATGAAACATTTCTGAGGCTCTGGTAATAAAAATATCTTAATTTAGAATGCTCACTTGAGCATTCTAACTTAAATTTCTTTTGTACAAACTTATATAAACAAGTTGATTGGTTGTAATTCATATTTTAAAGATTGCAGCTAGAGATTTTTTAAACACATAAACAAAAAGAGAGTAAAACATCTTTTCTGAAATACTTTACATATATCATGTATTCTTAACAACTAAACTAACACACTATTTTACACAATGTTTCAAAGCTAGATAAAAAAATGAAACCATGACAACGCATATAAAAAATTAACAAACTTAAATTTGTAAACAAATTTTTTTTTTACTATTTACTAAATCTTCAGAAAAGTCAATAAGATCTCCAACTACTGCCATCTCTCCAACTACTGCCTACTGTCGTTTGGTAATGATGGTATTATTAGTTTCCTATAAAAATAAGATATTATTTAAACTTACATTACATATATATTACAAATATAAAACCACACTCACCTCTACCTATATATATATATATTAGGCCACTGTCATGTATCAGATAGATCTTGGCTTAGCATGGGATTTATGTATTTTATATATAGAAATTATTCGCCACAAAAAAAAAAAAGCGCAAATTCTCATAACATTTAAGAATAAAACTACACTTTTCAGACGGTAAACAGTTTTTAATAAAGCAATTTACAAAAAAACTACAAAGCTCTAGGGTGAATAAAAAACTATTTACCAAGTTAATATGTAAATTAATTAGTTTTTATTTGGATTTGCATGAAATATCAATTTAAAAATAAATTAGTTTACTAGTTATCTTGATAAAATTTTATTTTTACCGTACAGCTGTTTTGTATAAAATTACATACTCATTACATACTAAATTACACACTGGATATATAACTTTATTAATTACATTTAATTATGTTAATTATGTCAAATAGTGGCACATCATGACAAGTGGAGACCTTTAGCGTCTAAGGCCCTAAGCCTAAAAGTTACTTTCTGTTTATCTTATAAATTTTATTTTTAAAATGTAATACAAGTATTATCAAACAATATCAAACTATATAACATGACTCCAAAAAAAATTTTTTTGGAGCTACTCTTAAGGAGGCACAGGCAAAAACCTATGAAAAGAGTTAAGAAGATCAGGCATTCATCATCCTAGGCAGGAAACAATGCAACACAGGTTTCCATTTACACTAGCCTAATAGATGAAGAAGGGGCTTGAGGCTGGTTAGCAGAATTATTCTGCTTACCCCTTATCTCTTTGCCTAGGAGGTTTTTTACAGGACTGTAGCTAGACACAGTTAACATCTGCCCAAGATAAATATTTTTCGAGACATTAACTCTAGCCTTTACTCAATGAAGAAATCTAAGGTAGGGGATTTTTAAATCGAAGTTTATTTCTCCTAGCTTTTGCAGGAAAAATGGTACCAGCTATGGAGCACACTTTTCTGGAAGGATTGAACGTAAAATGGGTATTGGATCAATTGACAAAGAAGTTACAGCAAAACTGCAGAATACCCAAAGCAAACAGAGCCCAAACCTTAATGATGCAGTGCCACTAGATTCTATTATTTCTGCCATACTCAGTACTTTAAAACAGCCTACTATAGTTGTAAACACTCCATCATCATTATCATCTTCAAATCAAATACATTTGCCTCTCCCATTATTAGTCTGCGACCGCCATGGACTCTCAGACAGATCTGCTGCAGCTTTGGCATCAGCTGTACTTGAAGATATTGCCATTATTTCAAATGATGACAAAAAATATGTTATTGACTGGAGCAAGATAAGATGTGAATGCATGAAAGCTAGGGATAACCTGAAAGTTAGTGAAGTCAAAGTAGAGGCGTTGTACTTAAATGGCAAAAAAGAGAAAAACCCTTAAATTTTTTGAAAGAAAACCATAGTAACGGAATAGCACATTTCATTGATTCAGGAACCTTAAGAGGGCTTTTTGGGACACTGCACTCTTCTTAACGGAACAGCTGAAGCTATAAAATCTCAAATTCTAAGACATGTCAGCGTGATTATTTTTTCTTTGCCTATCCCATAAACAAACAGATAAGTGGAAACTTACCTTTATGCAATCATGTAGTAAAACCAATAACAGCGATTTTATTTCAAGTTAAACTCAATTAATAAATCAGAACTTTTTTGTTATTTTTCTATTAGTATTTAATAGCAAATAATTTTCTATAATTTTGAGACTTGTTATTAAATTTTAATTTGTGATTTAGTAAACTTTATTAGGAGAATGGAATTTTTTAAATTAGAAATTTTAAATTAATGAGCATTTGGGGATACTGTGATTGACGGGACTCCGCAGGGCTAGTTTACGCCCTGCTTTATTATGTAAATTTTTTTTTAATACTGTGTCAGAAAAAAATATTTCTGAAATCAAAATGCGCTATCAATATACTAAAATTGTAATAAAAATTAATAATTTTATACTGGTCTCAAAAAAATAATTCTTTAATTGTTTTTTGTCACTGGAAACTACTAATTGTTTTTTTCTTAAAGGAAGTTGTTTAATTCATATCATAACATTTATTTCTTAATCCAAAAATATGTATTTTTGATAGTTAAAGGGATCCCAAACCTCTGAGACATGTTGTGTTAATATTAAAGAGAATGATAATAAAAAAATGTTTGGGGTAAATTTTTTGATTAAAACAAAAGAATAAATGCAAACCAAGAAAAACTAACTTTTTTATTTTAGATTAAGCATGCCTAATCCTTTTGTTGTAGGCCAAAAAGTCAGCATAACATTTGCCGCAATCTACAGCCTACTTTGTCCGATACAGGCAAATGTTTATATTTTGTGTGTGCGTGTGTTTATATATATATATATATATATATATATATATATATATATATATATATATATATATATATATATATATATATATATATATATATATATATATATACACACACAAACAAGCAAGGACAATTCTAGACCGCTTTCAATAGCCCCGAATGTATTTGGGTGCCATCTAAAACAAAAATTGAGGACTTTTTTTTTTCTTTCCTAGAATAGGCCCTGACAAGCATACATATATAAACGCATAGATACACCCATGCATACATATATAAATGCATAAATACACACTGATGTCATACAGAAATAGGTAGTTATGGGGTTACATTGACTGAATTAATCGGAATCAGTATCGACGTCGGCCTCTTTTACCAATTTTCCAACCATTGGCATTTTTATATTTCTGTTGTACATTATTATAATAATAAAACAATAAATAAACTAAACTTTATGCATCACTTCGAATTTTTTGAATAAACTTTTATTTTTATTTTGTTTACAGCCAAAAGCTTTAAAAGTAGCCTATTTAAGCATTATTATCTATATTTTTAAAATTCTTTTTAACTCCCAACAAAGCTGCAAGCAACCACTATCAAGTTGGGAGTTGCTAGAAAAAAAGAGTAGAGTTATAGAGCAAGGTAATGGTTGACAGAAGACTTAAAAAGTTGAAGGTTGTATGAGTCAGGAAAACATAAGATGGGACAGAGTTTAGAAGGGTTGAAGTGCAGGGAAATAAACTAGACAAATGAAAGTTTTTGGAGCATGACAAAACAGATACACTAAAAGAATGAGTCAGGTGAGAATGAGTTTTGATTGATGGAACTAAAGATAAAAGATCCTTTGAGCAGCAACCATGATACTATTTGTAGAAAAGAGAAAGAGATACAATTTTACAACGATGGGAAAGACGCTCAAGTTTAGCAGATAGACCGGGTCCAACTCTGTTTGATAATTATTTAATTCATCGTTATCGGTATTGGCCTTTTCCCATCCATTGGCGTCGGTATCAGCATCGGCCAAAAAAGTGATATCGGTACATCACTAATATATATATATATATATATATATATATATATATATATATATATATATATATATATATATATATATATATATATATATATATATATATATATATATATATATATATATATATATATATATATATATATATATATATAAAAGTAACACCTCAGTTTAATCAACAAATATGTTTCTAATAGTTATTTTGCCTTATCCTCCTACACTTTTCTTAATTTCTTTTTCATATACAGTTTTGCTCATGATAACATTTTTTAAGTTTATTAGCTTTTATTATTTTTCAAAATTTTCTCTTTATTAAAATCATTATATGAATAATAAATTATAGAAACAAACAAAACCTGATTTATGTACTATATGTAATAATATATAATAATACAATATTGATTTCTTTTTTTGTATTCTGTCTGAATGTATTGCACAGAAATTTCTTTTATAGTAAAAAAAGCCTCTTTGTGTTGATTACTTAACTTTATACTCATATCTTGATAAAAAGTCTTTTTTTTTTTTATCTTTATGAACAGTCAGCCAATCTTGAATATCATTTCACTGCAATAGAATGGGGGTTGCAGTAACTTGTAAATTGAAAGGAAAAAAGTTTTTTGTTAAAAATATTGTTGATCCTAGGCTACAGGTGATTTAAAGTGAAGACAAAATTTTTTAAGTTGCACCTGAAGTCATTTTTGGACTTGATAATTTTCTACTGAATTGTATTTTATTAAAAAGTTTCTAATAATTAAGAAACTTACAAAATATAGAATAAAAAAAAAATATATATCTTTTCACTTTCATAAATTGCTAATTTTGTATAGACCCATCAATAATCAACTTGTAGCCTTTTAAACAATTTTTTAGGTTTTTCAAATTGCCATTATGAATAAAAAATGACATTAAGCAGTTCAAAGCTAATGTTTTACAAAAGTGTTAAATTACAACAAATTTTAAGAGAATTTTTAAATTAAATTTTGTTAAAAAAATATAGAGCTTTAAAAAGTATAAACAAAACATGTTTTTGTTCCTGAACTCTATTATTTTAGAATTAATTTCAAATGAACCACAATTAAGCTTATGAACCAATAAAGTTTTATGTTGAAAATTTCAGAGTTTTCTTGTTAATATAAACAAATCATTGATAACTTTTTTAAAAATAAAATACAACACTTATTATCTTGAGAATCTTTTTAGAGATTTTGAAAAAACACTTGACAATGCAATAAAATTTTGTAAAAGGTAATATAATATGACAGTAAACAGTGGATTCTACAATTAACATTTTGTGTGCTGTAGTCAAGATATAAATTATTAGAGCACTTGACATACATGGTAACTTGGCACCTTAAGCAAAATGACAAATTACTACTAATCCACTTGAAATTGTAACAAAAAAGTTGGGGTAATTTGGCAACTTTATTAACAACATCAATTTTTTTTTAATAATATTTTTATAAAGTTTTTAAAACACATTTACAATCAGTTAAAAAAAGCAATTAAACAATGATAAATAAGTAAGAAAAAAAGTTTTATTTATTAAGAATAGAGTTTTAATTCATCTTGAAAATTGAAAAAACAAAAAAAAAAATCAAAATTAGCATTATTGCCGTGAATTGCTGTAACTTGGCAACCTAAGTAATATAACATATAGCTGCCTTATTCCTACTAATCCACTTGAAATCATAACAAAGAGTTCTTTACCTCAACAACTCAGTTCTAAAGTGCTTATAGGGTACACCATATATGTATAACATGGCAAACTTAATACCCTGGTATTTTGCAGTTGCTAATAAAAGCAGCTTTGAGAGCTACTACAGAGTTTAGATCTTACTACCAGCGTGCCTCAGTAACATTAAACTATGTTTAGACCTGTTGAGGGTACAGCTTAGGTGATAAAGTTGCATTGCTTTTAGCAAAGTAGCTCAAGGAAAAACTTAAAATCTAGAAGATGCACTATTTATTATTTAAGACAGGAAACAATGTATGAAAGGTTTACACTTGTGATCAATTAGATAAAAAAACACAAAACGAGTCAAAAGAAATTTTTGCTAGTTTTTTGCAATACTAGCTTTATGAGGATAAACTTGACCAAGATTATCCTCATAAAGCTCAAGAGTATTTGTTTAAAACACTGTCACTGGACTTTACTCAAACAAGAGGTGCAAGGTAGGGGAGGGTATAGTTGCCTGAAAAAGAAACTATAAGAAAAGCTAAGCAACTTCTATAAGGAAGCAGAACATGTTTAATTGAATAACTTGATACTAATGGTAGGATGATCATGGTGTTGATTCTAATCTGACCAAATAAAATATCAATAACTGCATAAAATATCAGTAACTATTTGAAATATAAAATACTTAATAAGGTTCATAGAATCACGATTTAGTATTATGTTACATAAAATTATGTTACAATATATTTAGTATTATGTTACATAATTTATGTATCAGAAACTATATAAACACATACACACAGTATTTGTGTGTGTGTTTAAATAGTTCCTGATATTATTTGGTAATCGTGTGTGTGTGTGTGTGTGTGTGTGTGTGTGTGTGTGTGTGTGTGTGTGTGTGTGTGTGTGTGTGACACAAAATACAATAACTCGTAATAATACCCTTATCCCAAAGAATGGTAAAACGTTTGCTTTTTCAAATTGTCTTATTTGAAAAAATTAACTGAAACTTAATACTAAAACCGAAGTATTTCATATAAATTTAAACAACTTACGCATGGCCACATAATTTTTTGCCATATTTATAAGCTTTACTTGTACTATTTATATCTATTAACACATACAAATAATTAATACCACTTAAAAATAATTATTATAATAATCGAAAAATGTCGATAAATTTCAAAACAATTGTAATTTTAAATTATAAACCGTTGGTATTTGAAAATTATTTTCATTATATGTGTTATAAAGACGGTATCAGTACTACTAAATCGGTAATATACTTAAAAAGTGATGGCGGTGGTAAGAATCCGGTATTATCTTTTGATATTCGAGTGTCAAAATATTGTGGTTTTACACAAAAATTCCGAATATTCCTGAAGCTCCAAATTACTTCGCTGCAGCGGAGTGAGATTTGCAGCGGAGTAGTTTGGATTTTACTTTCTTCAACCCTAGCGCGCTGGGTTAAATAAATGTATGTCGAAAATTTTATTTTGATGGCCTTTGGGTAGAAATCTTTCGTCTTCCTGCCAACAAATGTTCTTCTTGCATAACTTCATGGATCCAGGCTGGCATAGAATCTTTTATTCCCTCTCGACGATTCCAGGTCAAGCCTAACTCTTCTCCATGGTTTTCTTCACATTGGGCTTCTGCAGTTTCCAATCGAAACCGTTACTTCCATAACTATTAGCAAAACAATTCTCCAGAAAACAGACATCTGTTTACTATTGCTTGAAATTATTGTAATAAGGTTTTGTCTAAAGTCAAAGCGCGCTATTCTCAAATCATAAAATCTCGTATTTCATCAAAAAAATTAGGCTCTCGTGACTTCTGGAGAATCTTTAACAGTATCAATAATAAAAGGCAAATTTGTTATTCCACCTCTCTTGTATGGTTCAGACATTGTCTCCTTACCTAAAGACCAAGCTGAATTGTTAGCCAAGAACTTCATCAATATCATCTCTTGATTCCACTAGTTGCGTTCTACCTGATATAACCGTCAAACAGTTTGAAATTCGTATCACTCCAGCTTCTGTATCAAAAGTGATTTCCTGCTTAGACTCTTCTATAATTTGTGGTCTAGAAAACATACCTGTTGTAGTCTTGCAGAAGTGTTCTCTTGAGCTGTCATCTATACTTTTAAAAAGTGCTTATGAGAATCTTGTTTTCCAGCCTGCTGGAAAACGGCATCTGTTGTCCCTATTTTCAAAAATTCTGGAGAGCGATCTGATTCGTCTAACTACCGATCTGATATCGTCTAACTACCCATTAATCTTTTTCCTATCACAAGCAAGGTTTTTGAATCTTTAATTAACAAAGATTTAATCTCTCATAATGAGTATAATAACTTAATTTCTGATCATCAATATGGATTTTGATCTTTTCGTTCTACGACTGATTTGCTAACAGTAACAACCAATAAGTTTCGTTGAGCATTAGATAGAGGTAGAGAGGTTAAGGCTATCTCTCTTGACATTTCTAAAGCTTTTGATATAGATTGACATGTTGGTCTATTCCAAAAGCTTTCTTTTTACGGTATATCTGGTAATATATTTAAGATTATTGAGTCCTTCCTTTCCAATCATCCTATAAAAATTGTCCTCGATGGACAGCACTCTTCTTTATATCCTATAACTTTTGGGGTTCCTCAAGGTTCAAACCTTAGCCATATACTCTTTTTAATTTACATAAATGATCTTCCAGATGTTCTCACACCTAAGGTGGAATTGTTTGCTGATGACACTACCATTTATTCTTGTCATTATAAGAAGCCAACACTCTCTGACTGCTTGGAGAGGAGAAATTGGCTTTCGATGGAGAATTCAATTTGTGAAAAAACAATGCACAAATTTTATAAAAATTATTAAAAGAGAAATGATACGAAGTGCTAGATGTAAATTTCGGCATACGGCACAACAGACGCATTTGAACATATGAAAACTGGTTGAACTACATACATAATAATCTCAACCAACTTTAACCAACTTTAACCTGAATTTCTTGACTGTAGTTAAAAGACAAAAAGTACAGTACAATTATTAAACTTGCTGAAAAATCATAAACTTTACTGCTTGCAGTAAAAACTGGGCTAAAGTGCACTCAAAAAATAACAAGTGATGACTTAAAAATATTGCCTTCCTAACCTGACTTAAATAACTTTTTTATTACACAATTTTAGAAAAAGATAGTTTCCTAACATGAATTAAAAAAAATCTTCCTCACATAACTTAAAAAAAGAGTCTTCTTATCATGTTGGCTCCACTGTAATAAAAATTTTTACTAAAATTTCCGATAGATAGTAAAACAAGTTTCAGGTGGTGTAAAAGTTAAACATACTTATTGTATTGTCGTCCACTAAGATTTTTATTTAAAAAAAAAAAGACTAAAGAATTTATTGTTTCAGATAATGAACCAATTTTGACTTTTGAACATTTAATTTAGACAATCATGATCGATGGGGGAAAAAAACAGAATATTTTCATTTTTATAATGGGATTCACTCAGTTTGTAGTTATAAATCATAAAACATTATTAACTTTTTATATTACTTATTCAGGTGCTCAAAAAAGACCTAACGGACATGTCAAAAAACTAATGGACATGTCAAAAAACTAACGGACATGTCAAAAAACTGACGGACATGTCAAAAAACTAACGGACATGTCAAAAAATAAGGAATAAAAAAATTTAACCATGAAGTACAAGGTTTCTTTCTTAACAATATTGCTTAACAGGTCAGAATTAGCATCGAACTTCTTGGCAAGGCCGTACCGAGCCAACTTTGCGCTTTGGGCAAGCAAGGAAAATGCGCCTTAGCCACCTCCTTCAAAAAAAAAAAAAATTAAAAAAATAATTTATTAATTTCAAAATTTTTTACATTTAGTGTAAAGTACAATTAATCATGAATGTTGCATAAACTTCAGTTCAAGTTCACTTTTCTGGCTTTTTAATTAATTTTGATGACATCATTAGTAAATTTGCCTTTTTTAATTTGAAGCAAATTCACTAATGATGTCAAAATTTAAGGGCGTCGAGCAATTCATGTTTGAATAAAATTATAGCCAGATTAAACAAACGTTCTTGGTCCATAAATGATCTTGTGTTGTTTTTTTATGTAAGAAAATTACGTTGAAAAGGAAAAAGGAAATAAGAAAAGGCAATTAAAAACTGAATTACCAATTGTTTCAAACAAAGAATTCAAAAATATCAAAATAAAAGACGAGTAAAACAAAAAAACATATTATAAAAAAATAAACTTTTAACAAATAAACACTCAAAAACAACATTTAAAAAAAAACAAATAAAAGAAAATTTGAACATCGATTTTTACTAACAAAAAAAGAAAAAGTAAAAGAAAAAGAAAAGAAAAATAGTTAAAAAAAAGAGATAAATTGATAAGTTAATAAGAAGATCAGAAGAGAAGATCAGTTTCTTAAAAGAGTAGACTACTTATTGTTTCTTACATTAGCTCTAATATTGCGGTTCCACTATGGCTTTAAACTGTCAATTGTGTAAAAAATTAATTAGTCAAAATTGCTGCTCATCTCAATGTAATATTTGTTTATTTTCATACAAAATGTGACATGACAACTTCTGTTTCTGATCACTTACCTCAATTTTGTTGTTGTTCCAATTTCAATAAATTATTTATACCACGCAGACACAATTTATATAGCAGGAGTTTTAAAACATTAATAAAGAAAACTTTAAATCTGATTTATCAATTAACTGGGACAATATGTTTCCAAACGTTTATTACTGAAACTACATTGATTTTAGATCGTTACGCCCCACTTTAAAAAATCAGTATAAAAAACTTCAAACGTCGATTCAAACCATGGATTACAAAAGGAATTATAAAATCTATTCAAGTGCGCAATCTTTTCCAAAAAAAAATGTTAAGATCTAAAGATCTTATTAATGAAAAAAAAAAAATTGAAAGTATTTTTAAAAGATATAAATGTATAATAGTTACATTAATTAAACTTAGTAAAAAAAACCATTTAAAATTTTTTTTCTCAGAAAATGTAAAAAATCTTCGCGAACTTTGGAAATGTATTAGCGTCAAATGTTAGCGTCACTTATCATTGTTATATATAAATTCATCATGAATTTATTTGCAGTTTAAAATGCAGGAAAAAAAGAAAACCTAAATAGAAAAATTTAAAGACATAAATTTTATCATAAATTAAAATAAAAATGATAATATCATAAGTTTCATGTCTTCAAACTTTCCTTTTTTTGTTTTCTTATTTTTCTGCATTTTTTATTTTAGTACCTTTAAAATACTTTTTAAATAATTATTAAAGTATTTGTTTGTTGGAATTTATTAGTAATCTTTGCTTGGTACAATCAAATTGTTATTTCAATACTGGTGTTAAAACAGCAACGTTAAAACAAAGGCTTATTGCATTTTCAGTTTTAAAGGGATCTCTAAGTGGGATTTTAAAGGGATCCCTAAGTAACATATGATCTCATATGAAAGTGCATAAAAAAAAAAATGTAAGTTTTTTTTTCTTTTTCACTAAGTTGTAATAATAAATGCAGGCTAACAAAAAGCAATTGCCGAAATCACTAAAAAACAACTCCATTTTGATTTTATTTTTTACCATTGAAACTCAATTGTTAGTAACTAACAATTGAGTTTCAATTGAGTTTGTAACAATTGTAACAATTTAACTAACAACAGTTGTTAAAAATCAAGTTAATACGTCACAACAACTTTAGAATATCAACTTAGATTTTGAAGTAAAAAAAAAGTCGTGATTATATAGTTAAGTTTTAATCAAGATTTTTTAATTAATTTAGCAAAAACAGTATAATAGAATTCGGTTGAAAGACGTCGTTAAAAAAAAATTAATAAGTAATAGTTTTAAATAGTTTCGAACTTATAAAAAAAGTCTTACAGGGCTCAATGCAAGAAACAATAAATTATAAAAAACGTGATATCTAATTTTTTATTAAGTTTTTGACGATGTTTTTTGATTTATTGACAATAATTTCTTAATTTATTAAAATAATTTCATTTATTTGCTTCGTTTTATTTTAAACGCATTTTATGTTATTAAACTGAATAAAACAGCAAAAAAACATCGTCACGAAGTTGTTTTACATTAACACAAGCTATTTATATTTTAAAGACAACTTTTTGTTTTATTGTTGTTTTATAGCTTTTTACAATAACAATTAAATACTCATTAAAAACACGTGTTTTATCGTCGGCGTGATCGTATTAAACAGTTTTCTATGACTAATTATGGTGGTTTAAATATTGCCGTGATGGATCCAGGAATTTTTGGTGGATGGGGATGTTAAAATATTTTTGAATATTTTTATATATATATTTGTACCATGCGTCTCCTAAAAAAAAAGCAAAAATCAAGGTCCTCAATTTCCATGATATTTTCAAGACTTTCAGATTCTAGTGAACACTCTAATTAATGTAAAAAATTTGAATAAATCATCTCCCAACTGTTTGCAAGAAAATGATAGATATATAACTGACCCGACACTAATCTCTGAATCATTTAACACTTTTTGCTCACATGTTGCTCATAAACTCAAATCCAATATTCATTCATCTTACGTTAGCTATACAAAAATATATTAAACATCCAAATTTACATAGTTTATTATTATCTCCAACAAATATTTCTGAAACTTCATCTCTTATATCTAAATTGAATCCAAAAAAATCATTAGGTCCAAACAGCATTCCCACAAATTTTCTAATAAATTTTAACTACGATTTTTCAAATATTCTTTCTAAACTATTTAATACATAATTTAATATCATATATAACTGGAAAATTTCCAGATATTTTGAAATTATCTTGCGTTATTCCAATATATAAAAATGGCTCTAAACTTTCATGCACTAACTACAGACCTATTTCTCTTTTATCTAACATTAGTAAGCTTTTTGAAAAACTTATGTATTCTAGAGTGTACTTTTTTCTAAACTCATTTCATTGTTTAAACAATTTTCAATTTGGTTTTCGATTAAAACATTCTACTTGCCATGGATTAATAAGTATAACCGAAAAAATCAGGAAAGCTCTTGATACTGGTCATTTCGTTTGTGGTGTTTTTATCGATTTACAAAATGCTTTCAATACCGTTGACCATAGTATTTTGATTAATAAGTTAAAACATTATGGAATTCGCGGTTTTGTAAATGACTGGTTTCGATCTTATTATTCAGATCGATAAAAATTTGTAAGTATTAATGGTTTCAATTCAAGTTATAAATCAGTTTTGTGTGGTGTTCCTCAAGGTTTTGTTCTAGGTCTTCTTTTGTTTTTAATCTAGGTTAACGACCAAATCAACTCTGTTCACTTCTCTTCAGTCCATCTGTTTGCTGATGATACAAATCACTTGCACATCAACAAATCATATCATTCTTTAAGTAAAAATGTTAATTCAGATCTTAAAAGTATAGTTCACTAGTTAAATGCTAACCTAATATATCCAACACCGAAAAAACTGAATTAATTTTTTTTCATCTCCAAGAAAAAACAAGTTCTTTAAAAATGTTGAAATCAAAATCAAAATTAATATTAAACGGCTATATCCTTCAAGAGTTGTTAAATATCTTGGTGTATTAATTGATTGTAATTTTTCATGAAACTTTCATACTAATGAACTAAGCAAGAAACTCGAAAAATCTCGAGCTAACGGTATGCTTTCAATAATTCGTCATTACGTCAATAAAGTTACACTTAGGAGTATTTATTATGCATTATTCTCATCTCATCTTAGCTATTGTTGTCAAGTTTGGGGTCAAGTTGGAAACTATCGCATTAACAAGTTGCTATCGTCTCAACGTCAATCTTTCCAACCAATCGTTCCAACCAATTAAATCAGATACATCGAAGTCCTTCAAAAAACTTTTCATTCCAACATTTACAGCGCTAATCTTAATCTTCTTTTTGTTTTTGACTCCTTAATAAAAATATACCATCTCCTATCACATACTTTTTTCAAAGAAAGTAGACTATTAAATTCCTACTCGACTAGAAATATAAACAATGGAAAAATAATGTACCACCTTTTGAAACCCAGAAGTATGGTAAACATTTTATTGTTTATCAGTGCGTCTGTGAATGGAACAGGAGCCTTGCATGCATTTTGATTGAGTACAAAAAAATATATCCTAAAATAAATTTACTCAATCTTAAACAATATCAATTTAATAAAATTCTGAAAAACTTTTTATCCTTATGATTTAAATATAATTTTAATTTTCTTTTCGTAATTACTACAATTATCATCAGCACTTTTTGTTTATTTTTTTATTAGTAAAACTTGCAAATTGATTTCTACAAGTTTTTTTTTATGTATGTTTTATGTACTTTGGTTTGTGTGTTTACGGTCCATGTGTTTCAGTGTGTGTCTTTGGTTATTATTATTTATATTGTATTAAAAATTGGTATCACTCCTTTTACCAGATTTTTGTATGAGTGACACCATCCTAATAAATCATTAACTTTTTATTATATTAATATTAGTTATTTTTATTATTTTATCATTGTAATTATGTAAACATACATATTATTAGTATTACTATAATTTGTATAATTTTTTATTTTATCTTATGTTATTATTATATATTTTTGCTATTATTACTATTATTATTATTATCATTATTATCAAAACTATTGTAAAATGATTTACGGAAAATAAATAGCATGTTGTTTGTTGTTGTTGTTGTTTATGAGCCCAAAATTACTGAAACTTTTTTCAAACGTAGCAAATATGACAACCATACCACGGCGATCTATACTGCAGGCCTTGCTGAATGGGGGCTTATTTTATAAACAGCAAAAGCTAAAAAAATCTGTTTAAAATGTGTGTGTGTGGCGAAATTAAAAACGAATTAAAAACAAAAAATTAAAATTGAATTAAAAGTCTTTCAAATACTAAACTTTCAAGTTAAACGAAAATCTTCGTTATTTACCGAGTTTCGGGTGCGTCGTTTTAAAGTTTATATATATATATATATATATATATATATATATATATATATATATATATATATATATATATAACCAAGTAGCAAACAATATTGGCGCAATATTGGGGCGATAATGTCTACAATATTGGCGCAAATTTATAAACTATATCGCGCCAATATTGCAATGTGAACATTTTGCCAATATTGCACCAATATTGTAAAGTCAATATTGCCCAATATTAGCAATACAATATTACGCCAATACTGTAAAGTCAATATTGGCCAATATTGGCAAAATGTTCGCATTGCAATATTGGCGCGATAATGCTTAAAATATTGCGCCAATATTGTAAATAATATCGCGCCAATAATGGGGATATAATACTGGCCAATACTGGCGTAGTATTGTTTACAATATTATCCTGATATATATAATAACACCCTATAAATAAAATTTCGGACAAATTTTAATTGCATTTATTTTGTAATTTATTTCATGCATGCAAAAAACCTTTATACTTATTTAAAAGAGCATTTTTTAATCTATTTAAATTTAATTTAATTAAGTTAAAAATATTATTTAAGTATTAAAAATAAAATCGTTAAATTAAGGACCTCGAAAAATTGATGGAAATTTTTTTCTAAAAAAATCGAGAAAAAGGTAAAGCGTTTGTTGCTAAGCAGTTTATGGAATGGGGTTTACCCAGATCAACTGCTTACAATAAAATCGTAAAATTGAAGAATGGATCTCTAAAAAAAACAGTTGGAAGTGGTCAAATCGCTAGTGTAGCTACTAAAGAAAATATTCCAAACATTGCTGCATTTTTTGAAAATAAGTCAGGGTGCTTCCAAAAGAAAGTAGCTCAAGTTTTTATCTGTAGTCAAACTCGAATTTCCCAAGTATTAAAAACAATGACTAACATTCGAACTTTCAAAAAAACAAATCCTCTAGATCCTAGCCATCAGTAGAAGAAAGCATGCGTCCTAAATGTCGTAAATTGTACGAAAATTATAAAAACTTGGATTTTGTTATGGATGATGAAAGCTATTTTACCTTAAACAAAAGAAGATTTCGTAATTAAGCGGCTATTATGAATCACGTGATGCAATGTTTTTCTCGGGAGGGCAAAAATGTAAACAAACCAATAATAAACATATAAGAATAAGATAAGAAATACATCAGGTAAATAACAAATAAATAACAAATAAGAAAAATACATCAGGTGTGTAATTTTAAAAATGATATACGTTTACAAAAATAAACACAAATAAAATAAAAGTCGAAAAAAATTTAGTAAAGAATATTTTATTTATACTTTTACCTCAATAAAATAGAAAAAGGTACAAACCAAAAAAATATTCTTATTAAAGCAGTGAGTTTTTGCAAAGAATTTATTTGCTTTCTTATTGTTTAAAAATAATTCTGTAAAATATAACTTTGGTTATTCTCTTAACTTTTAATCTTTTTGTTTGAATATTTATTATCATGTTGTGTTCATTACTAAGTTTTTACTGTTTACTATCTCAGTTAAAAAAAAATTATGGTTAATGATCGCTGTGTAGTTGGTATTTGCAATAACGATAAACGTTATCCAGAGCGGTACGAAATACATAGTAACGTTAAATCTGGAAAATTATGTTTCCACAAATTGCCTGTTGATGGAAAAACAAGAAAATCATGGATTCATACAGTTTCTAAAGGGCGAAAACACTTTGTTATACCTAAACATTTTAAAATCTGCTCTAACCACTTTGTCGATGGCATGGCCACTTATGAAAATCCTAACCCAACACTCTTTTTGACATACACCATGAATGTTCAATGTACTCCGGAAAAAAAACAATCAAGACCTCCTCCAAAAATCAGAATAACATCTATTTTAAAACCTGTTTCTTCAAAAATGATTGAATCTATTAACTCTAACTCGGATACACTTACAGCTGAAGAGTTGTCAGATCTTATAATTGTTTCTTCAGACGAAGAAAGCTTAATATCGTTCGAAATAACTCCATATGTTAGTGGCGATGCAGTTGCGGCAGAATTATTACACCCACCCGCCTCTCCCCAAAAAAAATACACTGTAAATCCAATTTTATCTAAGAATAAAGCAGGCTACAGTGTTAAAAATAATATAGAGCCTACTCTATTATCAACGTATACTGCTTTACAGTTTTGTCATATTACTAGGGACTCAGATGTATCGACTTTTACAGGTTTAAAAAATGCAAAAAAGTTTCAAAGTGTTTTCAATAATGTCAAGCACAAAGCAGCAGTTATAAAATACTGGGATGGGAATAAGAGAACAAATCGATTACGAAAAACTATGTCCAGTGTTGAATCCGTCGAGCAGCTACATTTATCAGAAGATTATACTATTAGCGATAACTTATTTCCTATAAGAAAAAGCGGACCTAAAAGAAAAATCTCACTGGAACAGGAATTTCTTTTAGTTATGATGAAATTACGTTTGGGTCTTTTAATTGAAGATTTAGCTTTCCGCTTTTGTATATCCGCTGGAACAGTTTCCCAAATTATTATTACATGGGTATTATTGTTATTTAAAGAGTTGGACAGCCTAATCTTGTGGCCTAGCCGGAATACAATTCGAGCAACTATGCCAAACTGTTTTAAGCGATTATATCCAAAAGTGAGAACAATTATAGATTGTTCTGAAATATTTTTTGAAACATCAAGTGCTCTTGATGTTCAAGCTTGTTCAAATTTTTAATAGCATTAACTCCGAACGGAGCCATTTCATGTCTCCATTCGGAGACATGAAATGGCTCCATTCGGAGACATGAAAGAGGCTGTCTCCCCTTTATGGTGGACGTGCCTCTGATATTTTTATTGTCAGAAATAGTGGTTTTCTTGATATACTTGAGCCCTATGACCAAGTTATGGCAGATCGTGGCTTTAAAATAAGGACAGACCTTGCATATATACAGTGTACTCTTTGTATACCTCCAAGTGCTGTTAAAGGAATTCAAATGTCAAAAGAAGAAGTTCGAGAAACATCAAACATTGCTAATGTACGTATTTATGTGGAGCAAGCAATAAAAAGGATAAAACATTCCTGTATTTTAAAAATAACACAGCCATTACTATACCTACCTATCATGAATAATATACTACGCGTATGTGCTGCTATATCAAACTTGAGAAAACCATTAGTTTCTAAATAGTTTATTAAACAAATTTAGTTTACTAAATAGTTTTTTTTATTGTATAATATAATGTTCCACTGTCCAAACTTTAGATTATTATTACAACATGAGTTTATATCAACTGGGGTTTGAAAGATGTGTAAAAAATTAGTTTATTTTTTAAACCAAACCAGCCCCGAAAAATCATTTTTTTGAAAATCTTTTGAAAATGCAGAAAGAATTAAAAAAAATGTAAATAAAAACAACATATTTATCTACAACTCTTAATAAAATATCCATTAAAGATTTAAGCTAAACATAAACTAGACATTGAGCACATGCAACAAACCCAGTCTAGATCTGCTATTAACTCATAGTCTTCTTTTTTTAAATTTTGACATGAACAGTGAAACCAAGCGCAACATACTTCACATTGAATACTGCTAAATTCATTAAATTCTTTAACATTGATTTCTGGATTTTTAGAGTATAAATTTATCGCATTTTTCGCAGAATGTTATAGGTTTTATTAGTAATAATGCTGGAGAAACATATGTTTTGAAAAAAATATCTAAATTTATTTTCACCGTATCCCAGAGCTCTTGATCAAATTCGATTACTTCAACATATAAGTCCTTAAGCGTCCAAACAATAAAATATGCTGACTTGCAATTTGTAATTGCCATTTGGGAATTAATCTGTGTGTAATATTTATGACACTTATGTAATGTTATTTGATCATTTTTTATTGTAAAGAAAACACATTTACTAGCTCCTTCTTTGATTGTTTTATTAAAAATTTTAAAAGGACATTTAACTTCTAAACACATTCTACCATGACATTTGCATACCATAAATCCATCTGGGGAGCAAGCAATGTAAGGTCTGTCGTACAAAATAAAGAGACCAATTTTTTCAATTTTTAAATCAGTGTGATTTGATACATGCTCTGCATAAAATTTTTTTATAGCATCTTGCTCATGATCAATTCCCCATTTGATAGAAGCAGTAACAAATGTTTTTTTTATGAGGGTTCTGTGATGTTTGGATGCAGTTATCCTTCCCTTTCTCATTTGAAACTAGGTATTGCTTTTAGCTTGATCTCTTGTGTTATATTCCACGTTTTTAATTGTTTCATGTCTTAAAACCATTTTTTCTAATAATATTTTGCCTAAGGTTGACTCATCAGCGTTAGGATGGTCTAAAAGTATTTCAAATGATAGCTTTTCAAGATCAGGATTACTTACAATATTTTCATCAGATTTTTTAATTTTTGATTTAAATATTACAGCAGAAGGCTCAGATATATGAATGTTGTTTAAAAAAGTTTCAAATGAATGTTCATTAAATTCACGATGACTTTCGATTCTTGGATCGAATTCTTGCAATGCTTTCATCCTTGTGTTTTCCTTATTATTATCATTTTTTTCATTATTTGCAATTTTTTTTCCTAACAACTAGGTCAGTTATTAAGCGCGGTTTTATATCTTTTCTAGAAGACTTATTCCAGACACAAGCTTGTTCTGTGCATGTTGGATTACACCAACCTTTGTTATTCCGTTAACATATTCCATTTTATAAAGGGGGGCAATGACATGATTACAAACTTCAAAAACTCCAGCTATACACGAACACCAAGCAGAAAGAATATCATTATTACAAAAGGCAATCCAAAGCTTTCTTTTTTTGTGAATTTTTTGCGAACCACACACTTCAGAATATGCGAATAAAACATCTTTTTTAAACCTGAAGTGTTTTATTGGGCCTACAAAACCACTATCGAAAATTGAAAACGCTTTTTGGTCCTTATATTTGCCAATATATTCCGAATCAAAATATTTTTTATTAAGAATATATGAAAAAATATTTCCCATTGTTCTACTAGGCCACTCAGATACTAAGTCTTTTCTATTTTCCATCGGAACAGAGTTTGGGTCAATTAGATCTAAAGCTTTTAGCTTGTCCGTATAAGATTGCTTAAGTTTTTTTTCCTGTTTTTCTGCTGTCTCTATAACATCTATATTTAATTCCATTGCAGAAAATGCTCTAGCAACAAGCTCAACTTTGCGTCCAGTATTACTTAGCCCACGAACAGTTAAAAAAATAACAAGCTGTTTAACAGATAAATTCAAAAAATCTTCGTATTTTTCAAGTGGTATGGTAAAATACAATTTTCAATTATATATTTCCATATAAACTATTTTTAGATATTTAAACAAACAATAAAAAGATAAAGCGTTTTGTCAAGTTTGTTTATAATTTTGCCCTCCCGAGAAAAACATTAGGTCACGTGATTCATAATTGTTGCTCAATTACGAAAAGGTCTATAGCACATTAGCTGGTAATGATAGGTAATATGCCGCTGATCTTTCTCAATGTTCTGACGAAGTAAGATACAATTTGCGTAAAAAGTACAAGGACTAGCTCTTAGTTTCTTGTTGCATCAGTCCCAGTGGAATAAGCCCTCTTTATATTCCTCACAGTAAGCAAGCAATCAACCAGTACACTTATAAAGAGATACTAGAAAAAACTTTACTTCCTCTAGAATCAGAATATTATAAAAAAGACAACAAGTTTATCTTTTGGCCTAATCTAGCTTAATCATTACGCAAAGTCGGTCATCGACTTATTAAAATTGAAAAAAATCAAAGTTGTACCCAAAGATATAAACCCAGCTAGCGTTCGAGAAGCAAGACCAATTGAAAACTTTTGGGGTGATTTTAAACGGCTAGTGTATGAGAATAATTGGAGAGTTGAGAATTTGGAAGAGCTTGTAGCAAGAATTAGATATTGGTATTCAAATATAAATAAAGAAATTTCCATAACTCAAGTAAAACATCTTTCAAAAAAACTTTATAATATTGCTAAATATGGTATTTGAAATAATTATTATAATATATTTATAAACTACATATACTAACATATTAACTGTTGAAATATTAAATAATAAAACTTATTAGTTCTTAAAATATTAATTTTTAAATTTTGTCCAAAATTTTATTTATGAGGTGTTATATATAATTATATAAAGGCAATATATTGAGTATTTTCGATTAAATTTTTTTTTTTAAAAAATAATAAAAAATATTGCCTTCTACAAATTTTTCTAATAGTTAAAATTTATAACAGTTTTCTTGTTTAGATGATACTCTAGTACTAGGCTGCATTATTCTTTTGAGTTAAACAGGTTATAGTCTAGGTTATTATCTAGATAACAATGATCAAAGAACATGCTTTAAGAAAAAAAAAAAGGAAACCATTAAATTTATTTAAAGCTACATGAAACAGATACAAATGAAAAAAAAGAGGTATAGAGTTCTCCAAAACCAAAATATAACAAAATGAAATTAATGCTATTTAAATACAAGCACAAAACATATATATATATATATATATATATATATATATATATATATATATATATATATATATATATATATATATATATATATATATATATATATATATATATATATATATATATATATATAAACTACTGTATTAAACTCTCACTACCAGATAGTGGGCATCGTCTTTCATTATTTTAGCGATTTTATTTTTATCAGTGTTTTCATTCTTTATTATAGGTTGGCTTTACTACGGCTAAAGAACCGTAGTAAATGCACCCTGAAGACAACCAACTTGAGGCTCTAAGCAAATTTTTATCCCGAGATTAGGAAATTCAAATGAGCATAAGATTAAGATTTCATGCTCAATTGAATGAGTTAGCCAGGCATAGAATAAATATTTTTTTAGCTATGGAACACTAAAATAAAGTGTTTTTACATTTAAAATAAACATAAAAATTATTCGGTGTTTAATTAATTTGAAATTTAATTTCATTTTAATTTTATTTCTACAATAAATAAAATTATACTCTATAATCAAAAAAGGGTTTGTTTACTGTCATACTGCAGTAAACATAAAGTGAATTGTATAAATTTACTATTTAAGATTTAAAAAACTTATAAACAAAATTTGTTATTTAAATATTTGGGTTGGTTTCATTAAAACATGATATATCAACAAACTTGACATTGGAGGATTTTAAAGTATCTTTAGGCAAATAACTATTATAAGAGTTTTTATATGACCTATTGTTATTATTATTGTTGTTATTATTATTATTGTTTTCTGAGGTTATAATTTTGTAATTGAAATAATTAGGTATATAAAATAAGCCTATTAAGTTTTTGTTAATTGTATCTACTTGTGTAGGTCTAATTGTTTATATGCAATTGTGCATTTGATGTACCCAATATGCATCTAGATGTCTTTTAAACGTTGTGACAGATGTTGAATAAACTATTTCAGATGGAAGATTATTCTACAAATTTGTGAGTTGCATACTAAAAAAGTTTTTTTAGACATCTGTCTTACAAAACATTTTTTTCAATTTATAAGCATGACCGCAGGTTGTTAAGTTGGGGTTAGTCATAATGGATGAATAAAAACGAACAAAATATATAATCTATATATTAATATAAAGAAGCAGCCATATTGATATGCGTGCTATTACAACTCAGAGTAATTACTTAATGGTCTGTAATTACAATAATAAGTATAACGGCCGTGCAGATGACAT